ACAATGTAGCCGTCTTTGCAAACTTCAAACAGCAAACGGCCTCGATCTTGGTTCCACTTACCCGTGACTTCAGTGGAAATTTCAGATTCAGGATCTGACACAGACTGATTCATGTCCTACACAGTTCTTACAAGTTCATAGAAATTTCTGTTTAATTAGAACCAAGTGTTTGAGTTGATGATTGTCATTTTTATACAATGTTGTAATTTGTTTTAACTATTTTTTGATTAATGTTTTGTTTCTGTTACAATATTATACATTAAAGTATAATATTGTAACGGAAACAAAACATCAATCAAAAAATTGGTCTTTTTTTATTCGGGCTGGTCTTTTGGTCATTTAGGCTCTTTTGGATCTCCGGTGGTAAAGCTCAATAAATAATATAGGAGCCACCTTCCCATCCCTTTAGCGTGAAATTAAACCATTTTTCAAGCAGTGTGAAATATTGTTATGTAAAACTATCATGTAATGTAAAAACCCTGAGACGAATCTTCTTCTGGCGTACATGCAAGAAGTTCATCTTTGCTTTTCAGATTTTGCCTCCTAAATGGCAAACTAAGCAAACAAATCACACTGGTGAATAAGGGCATGGGAAAACCACTGATTCCAAGGATGTCTGAAAATGTATTTGCAGTGCAGATCTCTTAGTGCAGATCTCAGATAATTTTCTTTCAAAATTGCAACCACCCACAGACTTCTAAAGCTCCAGCTGGCAAGCAATCCTGAGGAGAACAGATTCTACCCCAGCAGGGGCCATAGGGATGCAGCAGGAGAGAGTAAAAGAAGCTCATTCTGTTGATTAAATTTAGTTGATTTAGCTGCTTGGCTTCTCCAGGGTGACTTGGAGCTCACAAATTATCAATCTTAAATGGTGGATCTTTACGAGATGGTTCACATTCCTTATAGACGCAATTTGTTTTAATACAGTTGTGCAAGACAAGAAGTTGATTTTTGTGAGTTCTCTTGAAAACAGACTGACTTCCACATCCAGGGAGTTTACGCTCAACTTGAGGCACAGAGGTAAAACACAAGTAATAAAAACAAAGTGTTAAAGGCTTTAATGTTTCAAGTAACAGCCTTTAATCGTGACAAGTGCGCTGCAACAACGAAACGTGATTTTTAATATGTAGCGTTTGCTTTGAGCTTTTTAACTGCAGAGGCCAAACAGATACAACCGGCACAGGTGCAATGACACCTTGTTTCAATCGTGTTACAAAATGTTACAAGCACTGACAGGACAGCCATAGGATGGGATGCCACGTTTGGTGTCGACACTGATAAAATAAAGCTTGAGGCTCAAGCCTTAGGATGAAACGACAGCTAGTTTTTTTTTCTGTTACCAGATAAAACGATTCTTCGTTTCGTTGGCAGGAAACGTTATTACAATTAAAAATGGTTGCACGGTGCACGTTTTGTGCTTTGTAAAAGGTTGCACGGATCTATGCACCAAGTCTGGTTTTCATACATTGGAGCATGGTCATTTAAAAGACCAATACGTGAGTCATATACTCTATGTCACTGATGCTTTCAGTTCACCCTGATCCAAGGCCTCCAACAATAAAAAAAGAAGGCACACGGTTTAAAAAGTTACTAGACAAAATCTAAAATCCACCTTCAACCCATTGGCAGCTGGGGCCCCAAAGACTCCAATATAAAAATAATACACACAAGACCAAAGTGGAGATGTTTGGCCATAATGTGCAGCACCACGTTAGGAACTAAACACAGCATAACAGCACAAACACCTCATACCGACTGTAAAGCACGGCGGTGGAGGTGTGATGAGTTGGGTTTGTTTTGCAGCCACAGGACCGGGACATCTTACACTCACAGGGTCGACCGTGAAGCCCTCTGAATACCAAAGTGTTTTAAGGTCAAATGCTAACTAACGCCCGCAAAACTCAAAGAACAACTGAAGCAACTCTGTAAGGAAGAGTGGGGCAAAATCCCTCCACGACAATGTGAGAGACTGATAAAGCAAGATGACATTAGGCTGCACTTGGTTTTTCACATGACTGTTCAAGAAAAGGCAGAAGCACTCCAGGTCTGTCAGTACTTACTCATATACTTTCAGCTTGTAACACTGGCCGTTCAAAAACAGAAATTCCCAGTCTGTTCCGTAGTCTATGGCCAACTTCTTCTGTAAGTCACTGAGGAAACCAAAATACACAGAAACACAGATCAGAAGCACATCTGAAGCTAGTTTTGGAAGTTAAAATACAGATTACATAAAGTTCCTCAGTTCCATCAGGAAAGACAACAAAACTCATGGTATTTTTAAGCAAATCATTTAAGAAGAAATCCATGAAAAATGATTTTTCAACTAAACCTGAACAGAATCCTTTTTATGTTTTAAGACAACACTCTTCAATTCAATTTGTTGTCACTCCCTGACAGGCTGCTTTAATAACTTCTGCATGGCTCACAACTGTGCTGACAAAGTAGCTTTATTTTCCTTGCTCCTTCTAGCGACTAACGTCTCAGATATTGTGCTGATGAGGTGGCCCGTTAAAGCCCATTTCTATGCAGTGTCTCTAATTATCCGAGCCAGTAAGGGCTGCTCTTCTTCGCTAATCGCAAATAAGGCAAGTGAGCCCTATCTCTAACAGCACACAGGCCCTCATTTCCATATTCATAACCCAGAATTGCTAATGGGGTTAACAAATGTTTAGGGAGGGTGATTGTTCCTCCCTAAACATTTGTAGGGGGACGATTCGGGGTCAGGAAAGCGTTGTGGGTTGCGTAACCGTGTGCGCGTGTGATTCTCGGTGGGGCAGGGGTCGTAACTTTCACGCGCAGTCAATTTTTGTGGAAATTGCTCTCTTCAGCGCAAAATGTATGGACTAATTAGAAGTAGACCTCGATATCATGTGACTTCTAAAAGGTATGAACGAGAAAAATGCGCAAGGCCGGGACACGGGGGAGAAAATCACATCCGAGTCCTCAAACACAAATGACAGTGAGTAATTTGGCTAGAGGCAATTAAAGCAAGGTGGACAATGAATAATTAGAACAAATGAAGTCATGCCAGCTCCTGTCCCCCTGCATCCACCCTCCTCCTCCTCCTCTCTCATGCAAGTGTTTGGTTGAGGGGAAAAAAGGCTGACCTTTTGGTAAGTGCCACCTCTGTAGTTGGCACTCCTCTCTCCCTACTGTAATGAACAGTTTGGGGGCCTAAGGGCCACAGAAGCTACTTATCAGCAATTGCTGGCTGGCTCTGAGTTCTGTGAAAACATCTGAGAGGGAGCAAAAGAAACTGTGCGTGGATTTTACTCCTCAGCTGTTGTAAGCATGACAGAAGAGCGAGGAGCAGAATAAATCCTATAAAATCGTTTTTTTTCTTTACTAAAAAGTAGTTGCAATTTCTCTCTTTAAAAAGCCAGAGAGGGTTGTGGGTAATTCCCAGCCAGACGGAGACTCTTCTGCTCACACTAAGTCAGAAGAAGACCACCCAGCAGAGTACAGAAGACAGCCAATAGTGTTTGTTTTTCTTCATTAGCATTAGCCTTAGGTATCACACAGTGCATATTCACCACAGTGCTTCTTTCCATACTATGTTAGCACAGAAGGATGGAGTCTATTATTAAGGCTTGGTGAAATTACAGTCACGCTCCTGCTTGCGATCAAAAAACAAAAACTGTGAGAGGCAAATGCCTCATCTGCAAAAAGTGCAAAATGTTGAGGATTTAGCCACACGTATGCCGCAGTAGGCGCTAACCTCTGCCTCTGTTGCTTTCTTTTTTAGCCTCACCTTATTTCCATGTTGACTGTCTCGTAAGCTTCTTCCACTTTCTTCAGATTGGTCGCCTCCCACTCTGCAGCTAGATAAAACAAAAGGTCAGACAAATTAACAATGCAGAGTTGTTGCATCTCAGCAGCTGTGTGTTGCCAAACAGTGGGCTCTTGGTGGATCTAAGACTGTGAGAAGAGCAGTGCTGCGCGTAAACAGGGAAATGCTATTTTCAGGTGCGCTAAGTGCCAACAGGCAGGCTTATTAGGCTCTTCACATTGTGCTAACTGAGACAGGGAGGAAAGAGAAGTCAGAGGGAGTGTTAGAGCAGCAAAGGTAGCTCACTTTATCATACCAAAATGTTCCAAGTATGACAAGAATTTCTGGGAAAATGAGTGTTAACAGAATCAGGATGAAGTATAATTCAACTCATGAAAAACAACATGTTTGTATCTGCCTAAAGTGGCTGATCTCTCTATAAAAATATAATTAATTAATGTATTTGTTACCACTTACTCACAGTGGTGTATGTCTAATTCCACATTCACATTCCGGAGTTCTCCTTTCAATCATGTTACTGTTACTTTGCAGCAAAATGCTTCAGTATCCTCACTAGTGAATAGCTTAGATTTTCTTTCTGTCAGTTTTTCAGGTGTTTTTCACCGAAAGCAGCCATGTGTTAAAGAAAGGTATGAGACATGTTGAAATAGAACTGGATAGACAATACCTTCCTCTGGGTTTCAGTGCATATCATAATTTTGCCCAAAACATCAGCGCAATCTGGATTTAGGTTACTGTTTTTTATTCTGCAATTTGAGGGGTTTTTTCACATTATCTTTTAGGATAATTGTAAAGTTTAAAAAAGAAACCTTTTGTGCTGTGAATGTTACATTTCCAATATGTGACCTGGTAAAACATAGTGCACAAAAGAGAACTGTAAAAACAATAGTGGGAGATAAACATTTAATGACACTGATATAACACACACAAAAAATCAACCTGAAAGACACTCAGGTTCTGCTGTGACCATGATCAAAACATCCTGTTGTGTGGAGCACTGGTTAAATAATTGACATTTACACACCTCTGAAGGCATCCTCGTAAAAGTTGGGGGGGAAATCAACACAGTATAGCATCACGATATTTTGCCTAGCAATATTGTATGGACACAGGGACGCAAAATATTAGTATTTTCTTAAATACATTAAAATACTCTGGGAATAATACAAACATGCACCACTACAGTAACTGCCAACTTGACCCCATATCAGAGTGCAGCTTTTAGTGATAATTCTGTATGCTTGAAAATCTCATTTTGCTGTACAAAAATAACTGAACTTTATTGGATAAAAAAGATATTGGCAAAGTTTAAAATTAAGGACATAATTTGATGGCCACCCTTCCACTGACACCATTTCTGATGAGGCTTCAGTGAACAGTAGATGGATTAACTGTTGGACCAGATCACAGGCAGTAAAAAGACACTGACATAGCTTTCTAGGTGGAAAAATGAAGCCAATGAAGACCCCATGATGGCGACAATTATGGTTGGAAATACTTCAATCTGATAGAAATCTATGGGAATATGGCTTTCTGATTTGACCCCTGCAAAAAGTTCCTGTTGAGTTGATAGTCTTAGTCATTCATTCTGTGTCATACTGAAAAGAAAACTTAAATATCTTGATCGTGGCATGTCAAACACATCTCCCTAGTCAATGAGCAAATGGTTTCTAATTCAGATCCACTCTTCCATGTCCCATCAGTTTTTTTCTCACAACTAAGTATGTGATAGCAAAACTATATCAAAACGGGAATTCAGAAAACAAGGGATAATACAATACCCATCTCTTATCTGCTATCTTTCTTTTTCTCTAAGGACATGACTTTCAGATACTGTTCAACTACTGTAGAGAGGTTTTTAAGCCTACTACTTCTCCTTCTGTCTGCCTCAAACTTTTTTATGGACATAATGGACAACAAGACATTCTGGTTGAACACCTGGGAATCACCTTGTTGGTGCAAAAATACTATTTCACATTTGTCAGGCTGGATTACATTTTTGTTTCCCTGGAAACAAAATAGAAAAGGGAAAATACCACAGGTAACACATACAACTTCACACACAAGCACAATGGACTCAGTAAAGAAAAAGCTAATTCTGTTCAGCAGGCAGACATAGAAATTGAATTACTACTCAAAAATAAGGAGCTAAAATACACATACAACATATAGAAACGTATCAAGATGAAACAGACTATGACATAACCTTGTCTGAGGTCACTATTTGTCAACTGCCCCTAAGAGTTTGTAGCCTCCCATGGAAATGATAGCTTAGTCACATGTTTAAAGATGTCTGTCTTTGTATAAAGACACGCTGATTGCTCTAAGCCTTTTTGGGAAGGTTTCCAGAACTCTCTCAAGAGCCACGAGGAAATGCAACATCAGCCTCAAATATAAAATCTCCAAGAACCCAACTTCATCTTCTTAGGTTCCAGTTAGGATGTTGTTGAAGCAAAGCCCATCTTTTCCCTGAAAATGATCTTCTCTCCCCTTTTCAAGGACCGTTTTGCTTGAATAGCTCAGGGAATAACAATGGTTTATCCTTCATAGGAAGAATGCGATTGGAAGTGAGAGTTTTGAGGTTGGAGGAAATTCATCCATCGATTACTGATGCAAAACTGAGACAAGTTTTATTTATGTTGTGCAAACAATGACAACAGTTGCCTCAAGGTGCTTTATATTCTAAGGAAAAGACCCCACAATAATCGTGAGAAATCCCAACAATCAGACCACCTCCTGCAAGTACTTGGTGACAGTGGGAAGGAAAATCTCCCTTTTTACAGGATGAAGCCTCTGGCACAGTTTATCTTCATCCTTTGTCGATCTGGACAGGACAAAGACACACTGTAGAAGAGAGCCAGTGTTTAATAATCTATACAAAGTGAACTGGAACCAAAAGTTCAACACTGAAAAGACCAGAGACACTACCAAAAGTACCAAAAAGAGATTTCAACGTGCCACCAACCTCCTTTTCTTGTGGAAAAGAAATGGGCTGTTTGGAAAATTTGTGAAAATGTATCAAATAACTTCTACTTTCATGCTACGATAATAAAATAACTAAAATAACTGCAGACAACAACAAACTTCTTTTGGTTGCACTGCAACACTTAGAGTGAAAGAAAGTGCAACTCGCACACAGACACACACACCACACGTCCGCAACTCCTCGACACCACCTGCCCTCCTCCAAAAACACTCAGAGACTTTGAAAGTAGGCAGGTATGTTAATGTGAAGTGACACCTGCTCACTGGCTTCGAGCTACAAGTGAATTTATCAGGACGTGGTTTCAGTTCCAGTCGGATCCTTTCACAAAACGGTCGGTAAAACCCAAAATAACGTGCTGATGGGCTGATGGGCACCATGACAACATCTCAAAAGTTTAAAATTTTTATTAAAAATACCCAAAACATATTGTTCCCAAATTGTAGAAATACAGAAATAATATTTCATAGCTTCCAAGAGCCTTGAACAAACGTGTGATGTGCATATAAAATACTTGATTTAAGCCACCAACTACGTTTTGGGGAGGGGGGGGGTGGATCTGTTTAAGGAGGCGCTGACACCCCAGTGAAAGTGTAAGGGAATCATTTAATTAGTAAACCATAGTGTCTCTGACTGAGCATGAACAAAAGGGGCTGAAGAGCTGAAAAGGAGATAAGATGGCAGACAATAGAAGTGACAAGACTCCCGTTTGACTAGTGCTGATGGACACGGGGATTTACTGGGGTTTCTGTGAGTGGACGGGTTCGTCTCTGACGTCGAAGGAACTCTCTGGGGCCCGGTGCCGTGGCAACAGAAAGGAATGTGTTTGCAGTGAGGACCGCGTGTGAGAAGCTGTGACAGCCCTGGCCTGAATACCAATTAGGATGTTCCTTGCATGTGGTCTCAGCTGGTTGCCCCTGCCTCCCCCCCCCTCCCCTCACCTCACCCCACACACACACATCCACCCACCCCTACACACATAATTCCCTCAGCACCTATTTCTTGCCAAACCTAGTACAGATGTGATATGTCTAAGAGGCAAGCTGTGATTTACCATGCTGTAATGGCTATTTTTATAGCACCACGATGGGGAGATCTCACTTTGACTCACCCCCAAACCCCTCGTACTCTTTCAGAAAATCGCAGCCTCACACACAAAGCGCGGTCTCTCAGCCTGCTCCTACTCTCACAATCTCTTGCCCTGTTTCTCTCTCTCTCACATACAAACACGCGCAGCAATCATCAAGCTCAGCAATGACAAAAGGAGACGCAGAATCCCGAGAGGGTGACATTTGACCCCCTTGCCGCAGCCCAGTTGTATATGGAGAGAGGAGGGGAAAAGCAGCCAGGCGTACAGAAGCACCCAGAGCAGAAAACACAGGGAGCACAAAGCCTACTGAACGGTTTCTGCACCCGTCAGGCCCGACATCACCTGAAGCCAGCGTACAGTACGCAGAAAAGACCTCAGGTTTAATTATTGCAATGATTAGATCAGCAGTCACATGATCACATGGGTGTAATTGCATCATAAGTGCAAGTCTGAATTTAGGAATTGCAACGCATGGGTACAAATGTGTAAGAAAAAGGGGGAAAAAAGCTTTCTCTGCAATAGAAAAACATACAAATCGAAGCTAAACTGACCGGTGACTGACATTTTTCCACTTCAGCAAGTGTGCTGTACTTCACTAGGAGCTGTCAAGAGAGGCTGTCAAATCACAGAGGCCGTGTACACAAATAGAAGAGGAGGAACGCACTGCATAGTATAGTCTTCCGACCAAACTCTCCCGTGTATTCGTACCTTAAGCCCAGAAGAACGGAGATGTTTTGTTTACATGTGAGCGGATCAATAGGCAAGGCGTTTCTTCTGCAGCTCTAAGAAAAGAAGCCGGTGCAGCATGCGAGCTGCAGCCGGGCTCAACAAAACAAAGGCGCTGCAGCGAGGCCACCCTTGAACCCCGCGCTCGCGCGAGCAGCCAACACCTTCAGCGAGATTATGTCGGCTAACAGGCAGGAATGTAGGAGTTTGTTGTCTGTAAAAGTCTGCTCTT